CTTATTAGCATAAAAAATATATGAGTACATATGTTATAAATATATTAATACAAAGAACCGAAACTACTAGTTCATGATAGTATTTCACGGGTTTCCATTTCGTTACTATATTAGAATCTACTTCAACTTTCAAGTGATTATATACCGATGGAAGCGTCAATGCGCTTATTTCCCTTCACACAGACTCTCCTTTTGATGGGGTTCCTTGCTCCTTCAAAAACATATATAGGAAAGAAATATTCTTTTAAAGGGGTCAGAGGCTAGAGGAGACAGGAGTTCAGCTACAAATGAAAAGCTAGGAATTCTGGAACATTCAACATCCTTGGAAAAGAATCCGTCAGGTTTMCATACCAACATGTTGGCTTGGACTTGATAACATCTAACAAATTCAAACCCCTATGAATTCTATATTGCCAGACGGACAGTGAGACTGTGACTAACGAAGGATCGCTGAAGACCCTTTAAAAGATCTTTAGGTYCCGCAATGTCTGTATGAACACTCCTTAGATCCGTGATAAGCTTACAGTACTGCAGAGAAGTACAAATCAAGCGAAGTACTTCTCAGTTCATCAGCCGCGGTTATTAAGCTCCATATCGTGATTTGGAAATCGGAGGGTTTTACGTAATGCCTTTTTGAAATCTTCCTTTAAGAAGGTATATAAGAGTGGATTGATAAATGACACAGAGAACCTCATACATAGAAGCAATATAAAAATGGCTTCGGCGGGTGAAAATTCTATTCCACCTATAATATCCCCTGCTATTCCTAAAATAAAATACGGGAACCATCCAATGACAAATGCGCAAAGCATTACTGCAAAGATGATTACTGCCCGGGCTTCACGGCGTTTATCTTTCTTTGCTTGCGTGTTTTGCTGTACTGCTTGTGGATCATCTGTTAAGAGAGCTGGAGTGGATTGCCTGATGCTTTTGATTTGCCGTTGTACTTCTCGGTAGATGTGATAGTAAGCCGAAACCAGCAACAAGAAAACGGGTATTATTATTCCAAAGAATGTGGTCGTGCTGTACACAAAATCAGCATGTATATTTACATTAGTCAGCGGTATTATCCATGACAACTGAATCAATACGAGAGTGAGAGAGAAACACCAMAGGAACAGTAAACATGCTTTAACTCTTTTTCTGTTTACAATATTCACGTACCGCATTGGAAACACGATCATGATGTACCTCTCTAGAGTCACAAGCAAGAGGTGGAAGACATTTGAAAATGCGACAAACCTCGATGCAAAGTCGTTTACAATTACAAGGATCTCTTTTTCCACGGAAAACTGTGGATCCGATGGGTACAACAACATGGTCAAAATGACAATAGGAATGACTACAACTGCCGCCAGCAAATCAGATACAGCAAGGAACACGAGACACAAGTTGGTATTGGTTCTCAGTTCAGAGCGGTGTAAATACAAGTAGATAACGAACGAGTTAGCACAGAAGATGAACACAGCCAAGACTCCTAGTAGAGCAATTATCAACGTTTGGTTGTACYGATCGACACCACCATCACTTGTACCATTCGATGATGAATTGAGGACTGACATCTTTTAGCAGCTGGAAATAATAAATGCGTACGTGTTATGATCAATTACCATGATTTTAGAATATTTACACTAATAATAATATATACTATTCCAATGACAAATCATGAGAAAATAATTTATTACACACTAGAGAAGGAACTAACGGCACCAACAACAAAAGTCACAAATATGACAAAAAGRACTAGGATACTTTGCATTCTGAAACCAGTCTGGTGGAATCATTGCGATTGTTTTATCATAGAGTAAAAAATCCACGGAATTAGTTCAGTTGGAATCTGATATCAAGGACTGACTGCTTCGAATTCCATGCCACGGGATGAATCATCGATAATTATATCTTACTCCATTTCTTCAATTTCATATTTGGATTGATATTTTAGAATTATTGATTGAATAAAACTTTGATTTGGGAAACGTTTAGCGATGTCAAAATGGTCGAATTAACGGTCGGTCAAAAACTAAATTTTAAATATAAAAAACTACAAATATTACAATCTGTACAAAAGTATAATATATATTACAATATGTACAAAAGGATAATATATATTACAATCTGTACAAAAGTATATACTGCATACTACATCTTACGTTTTTGTCAAAACCCATCAAAAAACGCAATCTTTTTACGCACATTGTCAAAGTCCTTGGCGGTCAACATTGAGATTCCCGCCAAATCTTAAATGACGCAGCGTGATTGGTCAACAATAATACCCAGGATCCACTTCAGCGCTCTGCTTCCAACACCACCTGAGCTATTCTAATTTTTTTATCATCATATTTATTTTTTATATCATAACCTTGAAAAACCGGGGGAATTTACTATTGAACAAACCCATACATAGTATTTTTTTTTGGATATTTCTAGTGTTGTCACATCGAACAGTGTTACTTATCTATATATATCAGTTTATATTGCTGTCTCGACGGGTGCTATAAATATTTGAATAACACATACAGACATAAACTACAAGAATATGGAAATAAAGCAAAAAAATCAAACGATAAATCTCATAGAATCAAACGTTTTCTTCCAGCATAGATTTTCTTCAGTTTGTCCCAGTGACTGTAACATGTCTTTCAATAGATGTTAAGTGTGGATTCACTTCAAAGGTTATAATCTACTACATTTTTCAGACTCGATTCAGACGTATGGCATCCAAAGCATTTCTTGTAAACCTGTTATATCGATTATTACAACACATTCTCAGTTAAGTGAAAATAAACAAACAAATCTACCCTAACGTTAATCAAACCTAGTGATCGATTTTTAAAAAGACCTTGATTTTCGGTGTGYGATCGGCCACATCGAACAGCATCACACAAAATGTTTTACAATGCTYGCCAATTACAAACACTGATTATTTAGCAGTCATAACAAATGTAAAACGAAGGAAAAATATATACTTAAACTTGAGTTTAAAAGTATTGGTCTGTTTACTGACTGCTAGTACAATTGTAGGAAGTAAAACTGGTTTTTTAACAGCAAATTCCTTGAAATTCCATAATATTCCATACCTTATACSGAGCCTTTTCGCGTCGTCGAATATTTGCCCGTAAAGTTAACCACTGGTTTCGCCCTAAAGCTTTGAGTAATTGACGTACGTGTCCTCGAAAGCTAACGGTATAAAATAAAGATCAAAAGGAAAGACTTCTTT